ACCAATCTCACGGGAGAGCAGCTGTTTGCTGAGGAGGGCTCACAGCATGCCCAGGACAGAGCTGTGGACGTAGGACACAGGGCACGCACAGGAGATGTGCAAGTTCCTTGTTTTGTCTCCCAACACGGAGCTGTGTGCAAAGGGGCTGGCACTTGGCTCTTTGAACCAGCAGGGCTTTTTCCAGAAGTTAAATTTTCTTTATATCTAACTGAAAAAAGCATCGTCACGTTCTGCACAGCCTTCCTGAAGGCATCCTTGTCTTGGTGGGCATTTCTCTAGCAGGTTGTCTCCCTTTCTCTCTTTGCTTCAGGCTTTTTTCTTCAATTTTGAGCCTAGGAGAGCACTTTCCCTGGCTCTAGGAGCAACTGGGTTTCCCCCAGGTGGCAACATCTACCTTCCTCCCTTACTGTTGCTTTTCAAGCCCCCTCTTCTCCCTGCAAGCAGTGCTTAGTTCTCCCACCTCTCTTTCCCCCCGCCGCCTCTTTCTCCTTACCTCTACATTATTTGGCTTATACATTTGGTGCCTCTCTGCACATCTTGCTAATCCTGTGCAAACCCCTGTCACATTCCTCAGGCAGAGCTGACCTCTAGGCACAGGTGTACCAGTCTCATCATTTTCCAGTTTCTTTTATTAGTTACAGAGATGGTGGGTGAATTTGTAGGAGACAGAGAAGTGAACAAGGCAGGTATCACTTACTGCAGTTTGTATTGCATGATCCAAAAGATTAAGTTAAATTATTTTCAATATTAAGAGATACCCAACTTGTTATAGATTTGATTTCATAAGCAGCAGCAAAGGGATGGGGTTATTAACAATGTCTATTTCAGTTTGCATAAAAACCTGAAAACTTCTGAAGCACAAAAAGATGGAAAGCCTTTAACTGTTCTGCTTCTCAGAGGCTGCAAGTTGCAAAGCATGGAGGAAGCTGACAATGCTCCTTCAGTTCCTGAGGAGTACAACCACCTGAAGAACAGTTACGTGACATTAGCAAACATCATTAATAAGCTCAGTAGCAGCTGGTTGAAAAGCTAAAGACAAACATCTACAGAGCAAAGTGTAAAATCAAGTAGAAACACCTGAAGATACATCTATTGAGAAAGAGGTGCCCAGCACATGAGGTTAGTCACTTCGGGCACCATGAAAGGTTTGGTTACCTCTGTCTTCCAGTATGGGGACCTCTTCTGTGCAAATTGATGCAGATGTATTTATGGCTTCATCACTGGTCACAAATTGTGTTTGTGTTCTTGACCACATTAATTCAAACAAGTGATTAAATGAGCGACTTCCAACACTTGGCAAAAAGGGACTCCTGTGGTATTAAGATACCTCCAATAACGCCACATAGAAACAATAACTAGGTCCAAATCCTCTTTCCAATCTCTTCCCCCGATACAAGATTTATTAACTCAAGCTCTGTTTACTGGCATGCAGCTTCAGGGAGAAGACAGGTCTCCAGTTGGCTGGGCAAGTTTTCATCATCCTTAAGCACCAGGAAGGGAATTTCCCAAGCCAATTAGCAAGGCCTCCACCCCTCCAGTCGGAGCAGTTATGCTGAATATCATTAATCACTATCAAATGAAGCATTCACCACACTCCCAGTAGAGACATGTTACTGAAAAACATTTGTCATTGCAATTCCCATTTAGTTTTTCATTACAATTCATCTAGCAATGGTGTTTGGTTTTTATGTTTAACTAAAACACATGTACATGCAGTTGGTTCAAGTATAACATAAAATACCTGTATATTTATCTGCATTTATCAGCTCTCCTTCCCTGTGACCTACCAGTGAATACATATTGCATCACATGCCTGCATATATTATATGCAACCTGACTCATCACATCACATGGTATTCATGCTAAATCTGCCTAAAACAGCAAAAAACAAACAGCAGCATAAACAGAGCATCTTCACAACTGTTTCCTTGTTGGCTACATGCTTAGTCCTGCACTGGAAGAGCTTCTGTACTAGAGAAGTTGGTTAATGTTTGCACTTGTACAGCTCCTGGAAGACTAACACTCAAATAGTAGAAATTAATATTCACAAAAGAGCTGTCAGGGGAAAAGAAAAAGTTCTCCCTAAGGCACATTGCTACAGTACAGTGTGTCTGACTGGCACTTAGGCTCCCTTTCCTTCACAAGAAGAAATAGGAGATGCATAATCTGTCTGTACTCCTGACTTCTTCATCCAATTGGAACATTGTTTCAGAGGATTTCTGCCCTTAAATAGGCAATATAATCCAATAGATTTACATAAATGTGGTCTGGGTTATGCCATCTTCCAAAATGATAGGCTTTAAAGTAGAAAGTAATGTTGTCTTCCAGAGGGGCAGGGGGAAGGGATACAACCACAGACTTCTGAGGACTCAAAAGCATGTCTCGTGCCTGATATCACAGGACTGGACTCATCCACAAGACTTTACATGATGAACAAAATTAATTGAAGTCTGACTCAATGCTACCAAAAATTTCAAGAGACAGGGAAGGTTTGTAGCTTTAGTGGTCAGATTACAGCTTAGACCATTGTTGTATAGTTCAAGAGTGAAAAAAGGCATTTTGCAACCTCGTCTGTCTGGACTCTGCTACCGTACCAAGTAATGCCATAGAAGACTACTAAGATTACAGCTCCACTGTGAATCAGGTTAATGGGCAACTCCTAAATACAGTGAGATCCTCAGATGCAGACAGACACAGGACAAGGAAGTCCATCTGCACCCCTTGCTTGTATGTTTATGGCACTGTCTGAGCTGAGTGCAGAGTACGTGAAAATGTAGAAGAACAAAGACTGGGATTTTCAAGGGGAATTCAAGGCCTTCTCCAACCTCTGAAACAGTGAAGTGTACACACGATAAGCCAAGAGAGCCACTCCGTGCTGTAGTCATGTGCTATGTGGGAGCTGTAACCTCACAAGGACACAGATATGGCCATGCAAATATGGGTTATGCCTATGCTAACAACCGGCATAAGTCCCTAGAGCTCCTAAGTGGCTTTTGATCTAGCTGCCGACCTGTGTGAAAGCTTGTGCTGAACCAGCTTTGTTTCTCTTGTGCTCCTGTTAGGCATGAACAAGCTATCTTTTGATACCCTGACTTGAGAGGTGAGAGCATAAACTGGCAACTGCTTGGTTTAAATCTCTGGAGGTGAAAAGGAGCTGCCTGCCACACTGGGGACAGATGTCACAATTGCAGGCAGCAAACACAGCAAGAGAGCAGTTGGTAACAGGCGTTGAGAAACCAGCTGCCTTTTCAACATCCCCTTCAAGCAAACCACCTCCAACACAGTCCTCGCAAGAACCAGGCTGAAGCTAGCACAGGTACATTTATCTGTGCCACCACCACTGCTTCACTCTGCAGATATTACTTCAGCACAAGGAAAGCTATAAAACACTGTAAAATCCTACTATAAGCCAAACAAGTTGTAACATACCTCAGATGGTCAAAGCAAACCTAACTGCAAAGCATTAGAAGGTAATTGTCTTTACATCTGCTCAGCACCAGCCTGTGCAAGGCTCCTGCATCAGAGAGTTGACAGCAAAATTTCAAACATTGGGAAGGCAGAAAGCAGACACAGGAGAGAAAATGCTGCAAACATCTTAAGGGATGGGCTCGTCTTAATGGATTTTTGTCATTATTGAATTCAAACATGGGTAAAGGACCAACTTCCCTAAGACAGCCTGAAAATAAGAACCTGTCTCTGTTTCAAGGCCCATTAATAGGTACTTTCCCAAAGCTACTACCTACACCAGGCATTTGGCTCAGCAGGTGCCGGCATCACTGGCTGCACAAAGAAACACTTGACCAAAAGCATCCCAACTTCTGCCAAGGGCAGTGCAGGTCCCTCTGCACAGTTGTCCCCAAGGGGATCTCAGAGAGAGGGGCCTTTTTTACAGCCCTTGAAATGACCCCCAGTGCCAGAAGCAACCTGGCACAGGAGCCCAGCTGAATCACAGCTACAGCAATTACACCAATCGTCCAAGGGACAAAACAATTGCACTTGTCTGACTGGTCAGGGCATGACGGAGCCCGATACATTTTTCTTTGTGAAAGCATTTAGCCTTGAAGTAAATTCCCAAAACAAAGTTCTTTTAACTCCAAGCCTTTCTGTATTTCTTCCTGGCAAGTGTAGTTCATTCTTTCTAAAAAAAACAGCTTTAAAAAAGAGATGTTACCCAGGAGAGTGAGACCTCACTGTGGTTGGCTTTCACCATCATCTGTGGAGGAGGTAACCCTGAATTTCCATTACACTGTGATGGGAATTGAGGCCTCAACTCCAAATAGCTCCCTGAAAAACACCTAGGGTGCAGCCAGAGGTCCTCTTTTCCTGGTTGCACCTCTGTTCCCCATCAAGTAAGACTGTCTCTGTTATGGAGACAGATCATCCTTGGTCCCATGTAAGCCAGTGCTTCCCAGCAGCTACAGTGGAAGAGTTGGAGAAAGGCTGTCTTGAACTTGCTGGTGCACAAGCCGTGGAGGAAACCCGCACGTGCACCCACACTCGCAGATAGCCAACACAGAACACAGAGCCACGTCTTGCACCACCTTTAAAGGCCAAGAATAATCCAGACTGGTGCACAGTTACAGGTACTGGACTAGCTGTGGGAGCAAACCCAGCACCAACCAAGAGCCCCAGAGGCTCCACCAAGCTCCCACAGATGCAAACAAAGCAAAGCAAGAGACCTTTCCTTCCCATTGCCCACAGGAGCTGTTGACAGCATTGAACATCCTGACCAATACCAGCAAGGAGAAAAGCAGAGTTTTCTGCACATTTCTTTAGGAACACAAATCAGTTGCAAAACCGGTAAGGAGAGGTGACCCTGCCCCAGAGGGCTGCAATGTTGTGGGGCTGGAGGGCTCCAACTGTTGCCATGGTTGGCGGAACTCAGAACTGGTGTCCATTACCTTGGATACCACAACACATTTTGGTCCAAAAACAGTTCCGTGGCAGTTTCCCCTTTCTACCTGGCATAAATGAGGCTCTGGAGAAGGGGTCTGTGTGCCATGAAGGAGATGGGCTTTGAGGATGAAGTGGATGGAGCCAGGACAAAGGACTGCAGCGGGGATGGCGTGGATGGCCAGGTGAGCAGCACACAGTAAGAGCAGAGCAGTATCCAGCTTCAATTTCACCTCTGAAATATGGTTTGGGATCAAGTTTGCAGAGAAATAATCTTCCAAAGGAGCACAACATGTCAGAAAGGAAAGGACTTCTCTTCCTACACACTTGAGTATGTTTTAAAAGGCAACATAAGCTTGTGTTTAAGTCAGTTATATGAGCGTTGCATTCCAAAAGACGAGTGGAGTGTTGACGCAGGGAAAACAGTCATTGTCCTTTGCAAGAGAAAATATCCCTCTCCTTGGACCAGGAAGATGCAAGTGCAGTGGCTGAGGATTTTGTTTTGTTTTTCATCTGGCTTTGCAGTAGGTCAGCCCTGGTGCCTTTGCCATCAACAAAAGCTGTGGACAGAGCAATGTGGCATTACAATGAGCCCATTGTAACCACCTATTTCCACTTAACAAGTGGCTGCCAGCCTGTATTTGATTAATGCCATTATGAACGAGTGGCCATTGTTTACCTTGTAATTTATTAGAGGTAGGATTTCCAAAAGGCACTTCAAGTAGGCACCTAATTCTTGTGGACTTATAATATAATTGAAAACCTAGCTTCATTAAGCACCTTTGAAAACTCAATCTGAAATTATTTGCCAGGAAAAGAAATGTTTCTAAGCCTTAGGATAAGGTTTGTCCATGGCAGGTTTTTTTTGGAGAGAGGATGCAAGATTTGCATGAACTGGAAGACTAACCTATTGCTTTGGCAATTTGTAGATCACACAGAAGGATCTTGCTGGCACAGCAAAGGAGGCAGCCTTTACAATGGGCAGCGAGAGTGCTCCACTGTGCAAGACCCTGCTCATCTGCTGCACAGACGACCTTGATCAGGACACCTTTAAAACTGTGAGATACTAAATAGAATTTAGCAGTGAAAAAATTCAGTGGCATCACAGACAGAGACAGAGCAAATGAAACCCAGGAGTTTGGCAGAGGGAGCAAAAAAGCAGGACTAGACACTTTGTTCTCTAGCTTTCTTTCATGTCTGAAAACTTTTACCTCCTCATTGTTTTCCAGTCATCTGGACATTGCACTTTTAGTTTAAAAAAAGCAAACAAAAAAAATCCCACAACAACAACAAAGCCCCCAAAACCACAAACAACAAAACCACAAAAAAAAAACCCCAAACACACACAATAACCACATTTCACCTACACTGTTCAGTTTTTCAAAACTTGTACTGGTACAGTATCATTTCCAGGATGCCACGTGCTCCCTGACTGGGGTGGTTTGGTTCTTCTGCATCACCACTGCCACAAAGCTCCATTTCACACTGGGACATGACCTTCCCCTTCCTGGTACGTCATGGCATAACCACACACAGCCCCAGCCACGGCCCAGTGCACCTCACACACACACAAAAAGGAGACTGATAAAACGAGGGCACCCAGATGCAGCGTTTGCTTGTCCACAAAATCTGCAAATGTTTGCAACACATCCCAGGTTTGGCCACAGGAAGAAGTAGCATGAGAAAAGCGGTAAAGCAGTTCCCTTTTCCCCTCCCTGCAGAACAGCAGCTCTTTTGTAACCTGAAATTTCTCTCTTTCACTCTATAATGTTAAAAAGGAATTCCCAGTCTTGGAAATCCCTCAATTCCCTTTTCACATCACCTTCGACATGCTTTGCCTGGGGTCTCACCAACCTTGTGATGTGCAGGAATGACTCCTGGCAGTCTGCCTGCC